ACTGGCATCTGAAGAATAAAGAGGAGTTACCTGGGTAATAAGCACTGAAAAGTGCTCCGGGTACAAGGAACTATCCCTGCAAAGGTCCTGTGGCAGAAGAAAGTGTAAGAGGAACTAAAAGAAAGAGCCAAAACAGAACAAGGGGACTTGTGAGTAAAATGAGGCTGGAAAGGAAGAGGGAAGTGAAGGCATTGCCAGCCATTGTGGAGGTTTGAATCTTTGTTCTAAAAGCAATGGGGAGCATTGAATACTGTACAGGGGGAGAGTTCCTAGACTTGGAGCAGGAGAGGGGCTTCTCTTTATATACTGAGGGCTGGCACTCCAAGACCTATAGCAAATTTTGCTTGTAAATTTTAAGGAAAATGGGCTCAGGGAGTCAGAGGTGAAGTGATTGGGCTTTGTACACACCTGCAGCCCACTGTACTCTTAGATCTTCCTTGATTTCTTTCGTGTTTTGTGCTAAGCATTCAAAGCTCCATTTTCCAGATGAGGCTAGCTCAGAGAGCCTAAGGAAAATCCTTACAGCCCCACAGAAAAGGACCCAATTCTGCCTCTGTTTTTTTTTTTTGTTTGTTTATTGCTTGCTTTTTTGAGATAGAGTCTCACTGTGTCACCCTCAGTAGAGTGCCATAGTGTCACAGCTCACAGCAACCTCCAACTCTTGGGCTTAAGCGATTCTCTTGCCTCAGCCTCCCAAGTAGCTGGGACCATAGGCGCCTGCCACATGCCCGGTTATTTTTTGGTTGTAGTTGTCATTGCTGTTTGGCAGGCCTGGGTTGATTTTGAACCTGCCAGCTCTTATGTATGTGGCTGGCACCCTGCCCTCTGAGCTATAGGCACCAAGCCTAGACCTATGTTTTTGACTTAGTCATGTTCAATAGACCTAGTTGGTGGTAGCTTTTGACTGGATGACTAATTCATAAGCCCTGTGAGAGCAGGGATGGTGTCTTTTCCATCAGTGGTTCACCCCAGAGGTGCTGGCACTTCTTGGGGCTCAAATATATACGTGCTGTACCGAGAATGCCAGTGTCACAGCCTGGAACTGCTCCGTTCATTTATATACTGTGGGCTGCTTTCTTACTACAACAAGGGAGCTGAATAGTGGTGATGGATCCCCAAAGCTGAAAAGATTTTCTAATCTGGTCTTTTCCAGAAAAGGTTCCCTGATCCCTAGTCTAGGTAGAGTTGCTCTTTGGGCATTTAGTCTATGTCTGAACAGCTTCCTAAACGCTTCTATAAAATCTTCCACAGAGATGAAGCTGAGGAACATTTGGAGAAGTGACAGGACTGACCCCACTGCTGTGGCCTAGGGACACTGGGTACCATGGTTGGTAGTCCTGAGAAACACCGAGTGGGGGCGTGAGGAGCTGTGCCACACAGACCCCAGAGAAAGGGAGATAGACAAAAACCACGTAATTCCAGCCATCTTGAAATCCAAGGTGTCTATAAAAATCCTTGTCCAATTTGAAATTTGTTTCCTGATTTTAAAGCTAATATAGACATCATTATATACATATTCCATTAATTTCTCTCTCTTTTTCTTTTTTTTTTTTTGGAGGCAGCATCTCACTCTGTTGCCCAGGCTAGAGTGCTATGGTATGAGCCTACCTCATAGCAACCTCAAACTCCTGGGTAAGTGATCCTTCTGCCTCAGCCTCCCAAGAAGCAGGGACTATAGGTGTCTGACACTACTTCTGGATAATTTTCCTATTTTTAGTGGTGACGAGGGTCTCACTCTTGCTCAGGCTGGTCTCCCAACTCCTGAGCTCAAGCAATCCACCCTTTTTGGCCTTCCAGAGTCCTAGGATTATAGGTGTGAGCCACTGTGCCTGGCCCATTATATACATTTTCTAAATAAAAATATAGAAAAAGAAAACATATACAAAAGGAAAGGGCTATCCACACTAACTTGGAGATAGACCTCGTGAGTATTTCTTTAGTTTCTCCTCTGAGCACCTAAACACAGTTGAAATGATGCTGCGTGCACAGTTCTATTTCCCACTCTTCCCACTTAACAGATTGTGAGTGCGTTGGAAGTATTCAACATAAATTTGACTTTCATGCCTCCATCAATCATATTCCATCAAGGGGCCAGTTTCCATAATTTGGGACTTCTATGTTTTCCCCACTATTTGTCTGACAGTAAATATTATTGCTTTAATCCTGGAAGGCAATTTGGAGTGTTTTTCTGGGCTTCATTCCTAGAAGCAGAAATCTGCTTACTTTGAATTCTTGAATCTCACAGGTGTCAGGTGCAGGGAGGTGTGGCTTTGTGATCTTCAAAAATGACAGGAACCAGGATCTCTAGCAGTCTTTGCTCCCCTGGAGGCTGCTCACAGCCCTGAAATAACTTCCTGCTAAGGTCCCCCCATCCCTTACATATTGGGCTTGCTGGAGGGTTGATGCTCACTATTCAGCCTGCTGGGGGTTAAGGTAAGAGCTTCGTCCTGTCCTGCATTTGAGCCCTGGCTCCGCTACTCTACGTGACCTTGAGTGAGGCATGTCCTCCCTCTGAGACTCAGTTTCCTGCTCTGAGGATTATTTGAGGTGATAAAATGCAAAATGTAGCAGACTGTGTAGTGTAAAGCTGAGGCTCACTGAGGTTCAGGAAAGTTATGTGTTTTTATTACAAAGCTTTGCAGGTGAGGCAGCCATTCAACTCTGCTGTTGCACAGTGAAAGTAGCATTGAGGATATGTGTGGACCAGTGAGCACAGCTGTGTCCCAATAAAACTTTATTTGTGCCAGGCACAGAGGTTCATGCCTGTAATCCTAGCACTCTGGGAGGCCGAGGAGTATGGATTGCTTGAGCTCAGGAGTTCGAGACTGGCCTGAGCAAGAGCAAGATTCCATCTCTACTAAAAATAGAAAACATTAGTCAGGAGTTGTGGCAGACACCTATAGTCCCAGCTACTAGGGAGGCTGAGGCAGGAGGATCAGTTGAGCCCAAGAGTCTGAGGTTGCTGTGAACTACTGAACTTTGGAAACTGAACTTTGAATTTCACATAACTTTCATATATCACAGAACATTTTTCAACCATTTAAAAATGTAAAAATAGGGCAATGCCTGTGGCTCAAGGAGTAGGGTGCTGGCCCCATATACTGGGGGTGGTGGGTTTGAGCCCAGCCCCAGCCAAAACTGCAAAAAATAAATAAATAAATAAATAAATAAAAATAAAAATGTAAAAATCGGCTGAGCTTGGTGGTCACACCTGTAATCCTAGCACTCAGGAAGGTCAAGGTGGGTAGACTGCTTGAGCTCAGGAGTTGGAGACCAGCCTGAGCAAGAGTGAGGCCCTATCTCTAACAAAAATAGAAAAATCAGTTGGGCACCTGTAGTCCCAGCTACTTGAGAGGCTGAGGTGAGAAGATTGCTCAAGTGAGCTACAATGACACCACTCTACTCTGCCCAGGGCGACATAGTGAGACTCTGTTTCAAGAAATTAATAATAAAGTAAGTAAAAAATCATTCTTAGCTCAAAACTGCACAAAACCTGGTGGCAGGCAGGCTTTTTCAGGCAGCTTGTCAACCTCATCCTTTGCTAATGGCAGGGTGGCCTCCACCCCTGACTTGGGTTTGCTCAGAGTTTCTCAACCCCCGTTCCTGAGGTGAAGAGTGGGAAGCTTGGGATATAAGTGTCTCGGTTCCCTTTTGGGGGCCTCGGTTTCCCTGTCTGTACAGGAGGGTGAGGTTTTGGCCCCCTCCAGCTATGGCTTTATAAGGTGCTTGAGCTTCTGTCTTGGCAACACGCTCTGGGTCTCTGGTATGCACGTATGTATGCATGTGTGAATGAATGACAGGTCTCACTCTGTTGCCTAGGCTAGAGTACAGTGGCCCCATCATAGTTCACTGCAATCTCAAACTCCTGGGCTCAAGCAATCCTCCTGCCTCAGTCTCTAGGTAGCTGAGACTACAGGGGTGGGCTCATCACCGTGCCTGGTCCTCACCACCGTGTCTGGTCCTGGTTTTCATTTTAAAGCAACCTGTGTGCAAGGCAGGGTGTGAACTTCTCTCTGTATGTCCTTAGCTCCTGTGTTGTGCAAAGCCACAGGGCAGACCCTGGGAGACAGCTTTGCTGAAATGTTCTGGGCATCCTCAGGCCTCCCAGCCTTTGCCTATATGCTGTGCCCTCTCCTGGGATACCCCCAGCTTACCTCCCCTTGTCATCTCAAGTGCCACTTCTCCTTAGAAGATCCTCCCAGCCATCTCCTGCCCCCACCCAGGGCGGGACAGGGGCTCCTCCCTTGCTCACCCCAGGGTGACACTCACCACGCTGTGTCATGTCTGTTATCTCATTTCCCTGTGAGACTTTGCATCAGATGGAGCTGCGGGTGGGCCAGAGTCCAGAGGGCTTGCCTTTGGATCTCAGGGCACCCACCCTGGGGCACCAGAGTGGACTAAATGAGCAAATCAGGACGGAGAAATAAGCTGGTCTTGCCCTTGTGGAATCTGTGATCTGGCTCCCCAGAGAGGTTCTCGATTGCAGCAAAAGGATGGCTGTGCATCTAGAGATAATGTTTAAATCTGGAAAAAAGAAATGTGTCCCATTTGCAAAGCCCCCCAAAGGTCTGTGCTTTCTATTTTCTGCTCCCCCACCCCCAACCCCCCTCTTGAGCAAGAAGTAAGAGCCATCCTCCTTCTCCTCCGGTCACTCCCTTCCTTCCCGGGTGGGGTCCACTCTCACTCCCCCGCTCTCTGTTACCGCTGGAGTAATGCTGTGGCCCTTCTTAGCTTGGGCCCCACCCCCCAACCAACGGGCTCCTCTCTGGAAAGTTCCCACTTGGTTCTTGGTGTTCACAGTTACGGAAATCTAAGAGCCATGTTAGGCCCAGCAGGGCCCCATCTCACCGCTCAGCCCATCTTGATCAACGGTGTCACCAAAGCTGTCACAAACAAGGGGGTGTGGGCTGTCACGTGGCCCTGCCTGAGTAACCACACTCTCGCTTCCTTCTTCCACACACGGCTGTTAGGGGTTGGTGGGGTCCAGGACCACAGCCGGGGGTGCCCGGCAGCGCCCAGCAGGCAGCGTGGGCTGGAGCCTCGTCACTGAAGCACAGAAGCCACTTCTTCTGGGCCCACGAGGCAGCTGTCCCATGCTCTGCTGAGCACGGTAAGTGCTGGCTTGTGAAACTGCAGGGAGTGACTAGAGGTCCCAAGGGACCAGTGGGCCCAGGGAAGGACTGCCTGGCCCCCCCTGAGCTGCAGCCCCTTGTGGGGGAGGGTGGACACACCAAGGCTCTGTGGGCTCAGGACCGAGGTTCTCCTGGAGTCTGTGGCCTTATGCTGGTGTCTCTTCCAGATCTCACCTCTTTTAGCTTCTAAGCTGCCCTCCCTGTCAGGTTTGCCTGCAGGTTGGGAAACATTCTGAGTTGGAAAATGAGAGAAACCACGGGTGGCAAATAGGCCCAGTGAGGTGAAGGGATTTGCTGAGGGGAAAGCTGAGATTAGGTCTGGAAGATTCTAGAAAGGAAGAGGAGTGCAGGATGTATCTTTAAGCCACAATGTAAACTACTTTTGTTTCAAAGATGCATTCTTTCTACTTTGTATAAGATTGAAAAAAAATGATATATCTCTGTGGCAAATTATTAAAATATTAGAATTGGGATATTATTGTTAGCAAAAAAAGAAAATAACTAGAACCTTATTAATTTGTATTTGGGATATTTGGGGGTTATTTATTCCGTTCTAGGGGAATGTTAGGGGCCCGAGGCGAAAGTCACTGCTCCTTACAAACACAGACACTCACAGCCTGGAGACAAAGATCCAGGCTTCTGTGCCTTGCATTTCTCTTCCTCTTTCCTGGCCTCTTGTTTTCTTCCCTTTCCTGTCTCTGACTTCAAGCCCTCCAGGGACCAGGCCTCTCAGTGGGCAGGGGCTCGGGAGGTAGCCCTCAGACCCCAGGGTGGCTTCCTCTGGGGGTTCCCGGGGAGGCCGCACCCTGTGTGGCAATGCCTCCCTCACTAGGCCTGGCCAGCAGCCAGGGGAGTTAAAACTCAGAGAGAGGAAGGGGCTGGGCTGCCAGGCCCAGAGCAGGAGAGTCATCTGTGAACCCTGAAGGGTGGGCAGTGCCCTTTTTGGAGGTGAGGAAACTGAGCTCTCAAGGGAGAAGCAGCCTGGCATATTGTCGGCACTTAGTAGGTAAGGTTTACAAAGTGGAGGAGGCCGAGGCTGTGGACAGCACCCAGGGCTTACAATGGATACAGGATACAGGTTTCCAGGGCCCTGCCCTCTGCCCTCTCTGACTAAGGAGAACAGAGATGCATAAAGCCCTGCCCCAGAGTTGGGGATTTTTTCAAGACATGGCAATAGTTAACAGGGATTCCCCTCCTCTAAATGAGACTAATGACAACAGCTTGCATTTACTGAGCACTTTCTGTGTGTTCAGCGTTCTACCTGGACCATCTTACTTCAAGCCCCATGGGAACAGGTGCTACTATCGTCTTGGTATTCCAGACATGGTGCCCAGGGGTCAGAGGGGCAATTTGGTTGACTGAGGTCACACAGCTTGTAAGAGACAGAGCTGGGATTGATCTGCTTTGATGTGACTCCCAAGTCAGACAGGACTGTCCCGTCCACCAGGACCTAGACCTGTAGTGGGGTCTGGGAACACTTGTACCTCAGTTGGACCTACTTGTTAATCTGGAGCCTTCCCCTCTTTCAGTGGCTGCTTAGCTCACACCCTGAGATGCTCAGTGTTTTGGATTCTAAGATTCCAAAATTTTGCCTGCTGAGACTCCTGGATTTCCAGATTGCAGATGGGTGGTTCTGAGCTTCTTGGAATCCCATGGCTATCTTTCCTAAGTAGCTGAGGGAGGCTCCACGGCAGTCTCTGGGGCTGGGGTGGGGCCCCTGGCAGCCTGTTGCCCCACATGCTTGGGTGGGGCCCAGGATCGTGGCAACCTGGCTTTAGCATGAAAGACAGGAAACAGCAGTCTCTGTCCTACTCTGTCAGACAAGTGTCAAGACAAATAGGATGTGGCCACTTTGTGCCCCTCCCTCAGAGCCCTGCCCTGGTCCCTACTCCTGTGGTATGTGATTGTTTTTCTGCCTTCTGAGGAGAGGAGAGGTGGTGGGGGATGCTGGAAAGTGATCCTACTGTTCTGAGCCTTGCTTCCCTAATCTGTAGCAGGGGGAAAGATGGAAGAGGTCACCCATATGGTGATAGAATGAATTAATTCATTTACATTTCATTATAGTACATTTGTTTCAGCCAGTATTAGAGAGTTACTATCCCACCTGCCATATGCGCACAGAGCGTGAACTCTGCTCCTCTGCTTTCTCCTGGTGTGGCCTTAACTGAGACACAGCATCTCGTAAACCAGCGTTTGTCAACCTTTTTTATCACATGGCACACTTATGTTAATTTTAAAAAAGAGTACAAAAAAGAATATACTTACTGTGCTTTGAACTTCCTTCAAAAATAATTTAATTAATGGTCTTTACAAATTTTTGTGGCACCCCTAAGATCCTCTCACAGCACACCCGTTGAAAATCACTGTCTGAGAGCCTTAAGTTTTCTTCCTGTCAAATGGGCTAATGCCTGCTCAGCCTTGGCCTGGCTCCATGCCCTCTTCCTCTTGAAACCCATAGAATGACAGGAGACCAGGCTGGAGTGTCTAGCCCCCCACCCCTGTTTGCCTGGGACAGAGGGGCTTCTGGGGACCAGGGACTTTCAGTTCCAACACTGGGAACATTCCAGACAATCCAGTCACTTTGGACCAGCACAGAAGGGGAGATTGGTGCTATGCTGGTGTACCACATCTTATCTCATCGGAAGAGGAGCTTTCTGGGTTCTCAGAGGCCCCTGGGGGAGGTCACCAGCTCCATGCCCTTCCTGAGCCTGAGGCCTCCTCTTCCTCTGCTCCTCTGTCTGCAGCCCCAAAGAGGATCTGCCAGATAAAATAACCCTGGCTGGGAGCCATGTCTAGGAGCTTCCATGCAGCATCTCATTCAATTCCCAAGACCATCTTTGAAGCTATATCACCCATTTCACAGATGAGGAAACTGAGGCTTACAGAGAGTGAAGTAACCTGCTCAAGGTCACATACTTGCTAAATGGAGATGAACGTGGGATGCAGGATCATGCTCTGTCCTTCACCCCTACTCCCACTCACTGTCTCTGCCTGCAGGGGACTGTTAGGATGCATGTTGGGGAGGGCACTGCTGACAGTGAGAGCCCACCTTAAGAACGTGGCCCTGCCCCTTCTCCGTGTTATTCTTCCAGCTTCTGGGCTGCAGAAAGCCCTAACTCACCAGGCTGCCTCCCCCAACCCCGTCCCAGGAGCTGGTGGGCCAGGCTTTGTGTTTTTGCCCCCTTCCTCTCTGCTTCCAGGAAGTGGCTGAGGGCTCTGCCTTCCAGGAACTGAGAACTGCCCAAGGGGTGTGTGTGTGTGCAAGTGTTTTCATAATCATGAAATATGTCTCTGAGCTGGTGGCTTCTTCCTAAAGTCCCCCACCCCCAGGAAAGAGGGACCAAGGTTGGACCATATATTATTCCCCCAAGTGGGCACTCTACTCTGAATGCAAAGAAACTCTGCCATCTTGGCAGATTGGGAGGCAAAGGTGTGTGCGTGCGTATGCGTGCCACATTTATTAAGCACCTACTATAAGCCTGGAACTTTTGAATCCATCATCTTATAGCATTCTCTCAGTAGCTCTATGGGATAGGTATTGGTTTTTATCCCCATTTTACAGATGGAAAAACTGAAGCTCTGGGAGAAAGGGTCGGTCTCAAGGGGACCCGAACATCCTTTTTTCTGACTGCACAGTCTGTGCTTTCAAGACTATGATCTGCATGGCACTTGGAAAATATTGGCTGGCTTTTCAGCCATAAAGCCTTCCTGAATACTCAGTGGGTTTGAATCTGATTTTGGCCTCTCATCTGCTATGTGTTGTTGGGCAAGTCACTTCACATCTCTGACTCTCAGTCTCCTGCTCCATAAAACAAGGATAATTGTAAGGGCCAGATGTGCCTGGAGCAAATATCATTAAGGTTGGTTTAAGAAATTATTTTAAGATGTGATCAGATTTGCATTTTAGAAACCAACATAATTCTAATTAACATGTAAAAGAGGCTATATTGAGCCTAGAAGCAGAGGGCCCCCTGAGTAAGTTATAGTCATCCAGGGAATAACAGACAACCACTCTTTCCTCCAAATCATATGAATGAAATACAAAAGAAGATGCTGGAAATTGCCCAGGGGCTGTTATTAAATGCCCACTTTGCCACAGACACTGTCCTAGGGGTTGTATGCTGCAGAAGGGTGTTATGCCCAGGAAGCCCGGGGTCAGTGCCTGAATCCTGCCCCAGAGCATAGCTGTTCCTTACTGCAGGATTTTTAATCCTATAAACACCAGCCAGTGCCAGGGGGAGTATAAGGAGAGAGGGAAATAAGACACAAGTGTTCACAATGCCACAAAGAAAAGATCAATGAAATGGCCCCAAATGAGAGATACTGTCCTTTCTGGCTACCTTTTAGGGAGGACAGTGGTGGTCCTACCCACAGGGAAATGCAATAAGCTCCCTGAGGGCAGCACTGTGCTGAAAAGATTTTTCTTCTGGCCAGAGTGCAGTCAATGGCTCTGGGCTCCTATGGACTTATGGGACAGTTTGATTGGAAGTAGCCCAATCAAAGGTGCTATGAGAGTCTGAGAGTCTGAGAGTCTGGTGTGTGCAGTGCCAAGGGCTTCACATGCATCCCTTCATTTAACCCTCACATAGCCTACAAGGTAGGTACTGTCATCCCCATTGTGCAAGCAAGGACACCACCAAAGGGAATGGGACCAAACTGGGACACTAGAGAAAGAATGAGATAAACTGAGGGGTGAGAGCCCAGATAGGGAAAGGGTGAGGGGCCCATGGACAGAATCAGACTCCAAGCCCATGGACAGAATCAGATTCCAAGAAACCTCAAAGTTCCAATCAGCAGCTTTATGCCGTAGGCTTATGGTTTCCAAACTCTTCTGCTCATGGCCCTCATCAATGGGCAACTGACCTACTTATGAATTGTGTAAAGGGACTACTGTACTCCTTATAAATATATGCAAAAATAGAAATTAAGGGTGGCACCTATGGCTAAAAGGAGTAGGATGCCAGCCCCATATACTGGAGGTGGCGAGTTCAAACCCAGCCCCAGCCAAAAACTGAAAAAAAAAAAGAAAGAAATTAAGAAGGTGTGACATAAAGAGTTAATATAGGCTTGGCGCCTGTGGCTCAAGTGGCTAAGGTGCCAGCCACATACACCTAAGGTGGCG